TTGCTGGGATCCCGCTGGGATTTCAGCTCCGGCTGCCCCACACGGGTCCATCCCACCCCCCCAGTGATGTGTCCGTGGGCACCACCAGCTCCTGCCCGGGTTTAACGGGGCGATTTAGGGCTGGGACACTTCCTAGGTATTTTTTTCCCATCCCTCCCCTCCTGTGGGAGCAGGATCAGGGTTGGAGGAGGGAACTCCAGACCCCCCAGCTCGGCCCCTCCTCAGCTGGGCTGGTTCAGCTCTGCATTACTGAGCCATTCCTGCACCGGGATCTCCCACTGCTGTGTCCCAAGAGGAAAACAGCACTCAGTGTGGATTTTGTTGGATGTGCTTTGCCCCAGAGCCCTCAGAGGTCGGCAGTAGGAAATCCCATCCAGGACCTTTATTCCCTAAATAACGCTGGCTCGGATTTTACTGCACATTTTGACACAATTAATCTCGGGTTTGGGGCCGCCTGGGAGCAGAAGCAGCTCCTGCAGCAGCATCCCAGGGATTCTCCAGTCTCCTGGGGGCAGACGGGGCTGGAATTGTCCCAGCTGACTTCATGGATTGTCATTTTCCTCAGAAATTCCATAGAAAACAGCCCGGTGGCCTCTCTGCCCCCCTGAGCAGGGGGAGCTCAGGGACACGGGGACAGGGAGACCCAGACAGCAACAGGGTTTGTTTTCCAGCACTTTGGAGCAGCTGGATTTGTCCCAAGTGCCCAGGGAGGTGGGAAGAGCTGCAGGGAGCTCTGCTGAGGGGAATAATGTGAGATCCAGGTGGATTGAGCTGCTCCCAGCACTCCCCAGCCATTCCAGGGCTCTTTCCCTGGGCACCACAAAGCCTCCTTAAGGCTTAGCCCCAAATTATTTTCTCACTGCTGGCAGCTCTTTAGAACACAGGGGCTAAAATTACAATTCCTCTTTCATGTTTAATCCCTTTTTTTTTCCCCCTCTCTGTCCTGGTTTGGACCTGAAAACCACAGTGGCTGCTCCCACTGCCAGCCTGGCTCTGGCATTATTTGGCTTCAGACCATGCCTGTGAATAAACCTGAAGTTTTGATTCCTGCAGAGAAACAACCAGGGTTTGGTCCAAGGTGCCACCAAAAAAAAAAAGTGGCTTTTACAAGATTCCAAGCCCAGGTTTGGTTCTTGGGCACCAGCACCGAGGTGCAGCCGTGGTTTATTATTTCAGCAGAGTCATGAATCGTGTTTGTGCCCAAAATAGTTGGATGCTGGGCTTCAATCCAGCCAAATCCCCCACAAATCACCTTCAGCTGCAAAACTCTTCCGTTGTCGTGCCGATGACAAATCGCTGGAATCCTCCCTGCCCCGGCCCGGTTAAAACAACCCACTGGGTCATCCCTGAATTTCCAGCCGGGATCTGGCTGGTTTTTGGAGGTTTCCCACCACAAGAGGTCGGCAGAATTCCGGGGATGGGAGCCGGGCTCTGCCTTGGCACATCCCACATCGCTCCGTCCGAGGAACACCCCGAGCTAATTACACGGCGAGAAAATCGGGGTAATTTGGGAGCGGGACGCGCGTTGCCGGGGGGCTCTTGCTGCTCCGCCGGCTGCCTTCACGTGCGCCCGGCGGGGATTAGGAGGGATCAGAGGCATTAAACAGGCTCTGGCTGCTCTCCCTTAATTCCCCCCTCCCGGTACAGAAGGTCCCCCCCCCGGGCTCGGGAGTTCGCGGCGGGACACGAGCGGGGCCGCGCCCGGCGGGGCCTGAAGGCGGCACCCGGGGAAACCCAAATTGCTTTAACCGGGCTCCTGTTTCCTGTGCTTTGCAGCCCCGGGATGGTCCCACCATGAGAAGGTGCTGCCAGGGCGTGGGGCTGCCATGCCTGTTTAAGGTCAGTGTCACCTCCCTGCTCCCTCCTCTGCTCAGGGAGAGCAGGAATTGGGTCCCCATCCTGCAAACCACGAGCTCTTCGAGCTCATCCTCATCTCCGACGCTAATTTTGGGTTTAGAGCAGGGCAGGAGGCAGCTCTGAGTTCATGGAATATCCTGAGCTGGGAGGGACACACCAGGATCATCCAGCCCAACCCCTGCTCCTGCTCAGGGCACCCCAACAATCCCCCCCCCATCCCTCAGAGCGTTGTCCAAACCCTCCTGGAGCTCTGGCAGCCTTGGGGCTGTGCCCACTGCCCTGGGGAGCCTGGGCAGTGCCCAACCAGCCTCTGGGGGAAGAACCTTTCCCAAAATCCAGCCTAACCCTGCCCTGGCACAGCTCCAGCCCTTCCCTGGCTCCTGTCCCTGCTCTTCTCCCCGGGGTGGCTGCAGAGCCCAACCCGGGGGGGGAACTACGACAGGTGATGGAGCAAAAACCAACCTGCAGGATGTTGGGAAGAGCCAGACCCCTCCTGGCCATCTGCAGGGACACAAATCCCTGTGCTGGGGTGGGACAGGAGCAGGTTGGGGAGTGACCCCCCAGCCCAGGGCCCTCCCTGCACGAGGCCGAGCTGTGCCAGGTCAAGGGCTGGGCTCGACCATCTCAGAGACCTTTTCCAACCCTCATAATTCCCTGATCCGGCAAAACAGCCCAAGCTGTCCTGGGTTAATGGTCAGAGGTGTCCTGGGTTAATGGTCAGAGGTGTCCTGGGTTAATGGTCAGTGCTCTCAGAGACTTTTTCCAGCCCTATTAACTCCCTGATCTAATGAGACCCCCCGGGGGGAGCTGTCCCTGAGAGGACACGACACAGTGACCTCCTTGACAGGAACAGAGGGATTAGCAGTGACAGAATGATCCCTTCAGGGGCAGGATAAACCCCCGAGGGATGTCAGGGGAGGTGTCAGGGGGGATTAACCCCCGAGGTGGCCCAGGGGGGTGGCCCAGGGGAGGTGGAGGTGGCCCAGGGAGGTGGCCCAGGGGAGGTGGCCCAGGGGAGGTGGAGGTGGCCCAGGGAGGTGGCCCAGGGGCTCTGATGTGCCCTGGGCGCTGTGCTCATTGCAGGGCGTGGGCATGGCCACCCCCCGGCCCCCCCGGTTCCTGCTGGTGTTCGACTTCGACGAGACCATCGTGGGTGAGAACAGCGATGACTCCGTTCTGCGCCTGGCGCCGGGGCAGGCGCTGCCCGAGCCGCTGCGGCTGAGCCAATGCCAGGGCTCCTACAACGAGTACATGCAGCGCGTCCTCGCCTTCCTGGGCGAGCAGGGCGTGCGCCCCGCGGACTTCAGGGCCCTGTACGAGAGCATCCCGCTGAGCCCGGGCATGCCCGAGCTCTTCCAGTTCCTCTCCAAGAACCACGAGCTCTTCGAGCTCATCCTCATCTCTGACGCCAACATGTTCGGCATCGAGGCCAAGCTGCGGGCGGCCGGGGTCCACTCGCTCTTCAGGAAGATCTTCAGCAACCCGTCCAGCTTCGACAGGAGGGGCTACCTCACCCTGGGGCCCTACCACAGCCACAAGTGCCTTGACTGCCCGGCCAACATGTGCAAGAGGAAGATCCTGACGGAATACCTGGCGGAGAGGGCGCGGGAGGAGGTGGAGTTCGAGCGGGTCTTCTACGTGGGAGACGGAGCCAACGACTTCTGCCCTTCCGTGGCTTTGACTTCGGCGGACGTGGCTTTCCCACGGAAGGGCTTCCCCATGCACAGGATGACGCAGGAGATGGAGCAGAAGCAGCCCGGGGCCTTCCAGGCCACCGTTGTCCCGTGGGAATCGGCCACGGAGGTCGCCCGGTACCTCCAGGAGCTCCTCAGGAGGAAATGCTGAGGGAGCCTCCGGAGTGTGGGGAAAAAGAGAGGCCTGGGGTGGTCACATCTCGTGCCCCTGCCTGTCCCCGCTCCCGGGGGGTTTTCCTGCCTTCCCGAGCTCCTCCCTCCCCGTGAATAAAGCACTTTCTCCAGGCCCCTGTCCCGCCCCTGCCATGGTGAGATGGAGCCGTCCCTGCAGCTCGGACCCCCGGGCCCCCCGGGGGCCTTTGCCAACCTTGTTGGGGATTAGTTTGGGTTGTGTTGGTTTTTTTTTTTCTTTTCCCTTTTGGCTTCACAAGGGAATTCCTGAAAAATCCAGAAGCCAGTTCCCTGCGGGCTGGGAACATCCTTCCTCCTGCCATCCTCCCCCTCCCGGCCACACCAGGAGCCGCCTGCTCGTGCCCCAGGGCTCCTTCCCTCTTTGTGAGCCCACTGGGAATGTCATCCAGGAAATTCACCCCCCCTGGCTCCTCCATGTCCCACCCAGGCAGGGCAGCTCCAGGCCCAGCTGTTGAGCCTTGGGATGGGGTTAATTGTCCCTCAGGACTTTATTCTCTGAGAAAAACACGACGTGAGGACCAGGAAAGCTTCTGGAGAGGTGGCAGCTTGGAACAAACCTCCCCAGCCCGTCCCTGCCCCTTGCCCAGGGCAGGAGGAGCTGTCCTTGCCTTCCACCTCCATCCTCTGCTCCTGCTCCCGGGGTGGAGTGTCCCTGTGTCCCTGGCAGGTTCCTCCTTGCCCTGAGCCATTCCCAGTCGTGTCCCTGTGCTTGCTGGATCGTGTGACTCCCCTCTTCCCCCCGGGAGGGGACAGTTCCCCTCCTGACCTGGTGGAGAGGTGCCAAACCCCCCCCAGGGGAGGTCTCGTGGTGCTGTGGCACTTCTGGCACCGGGTCCCCAGAGGCCAAACCCCCCCTTTCCTGTGTCCCCCCCCCCACTGCAGTATTAATTACCCCTTCTAATTGCACTCTGCAGGGGGGACCTCCAGGATCTGCTGCTCTCCGGTGTTGGCTTCTCCTGGATTTATCCACAGCCTTACCGGCCCCCGAGGGTGGCTCGTGACTCCTCCAAACCCTGGCACCCCTGGCAGCAAACCCCAGCAGTAAGGAAATAACCAAAGCAGCCCTGAGTTGTTCCTCCTCTTATTTCATCCCCTCCTCTCTGTTCTTCCTCCTCCGGACCCCGTTCGACTGTGTGGAACTTAAAGCCATGGAATTAAAATACCTGTATATGTGTATAGAGATCTCTATATTGCAGACACACCAAGTTGGTTGTATCCAGGACATAAAAACCTGGGCGTGAAACAGCTCTGAGTTGCACCAAAATGTTGTTTCTCTTCCTTGGGCTGGTGGAAGTCGGGGAATGGGAACACCAGCAGGGAATCCCTCTGGATTGGGGTCTGGAATGGGGTCTGGGTCATCCCTGCTGTGGCTCGAGCCAAAGGGGCAGCAGGCAGGGTTCCTGGAGCCGCTCTCCTCCTCATCCTTGGGGGTGTTCCCAGGGTTTGATCCCGTGCTGGCCTCGCTCTTCCCAGGGGTCGGGAGCAGCACCGGGATCAGCCCCCAGGACCTGCTGCGATTCCATGTGGGAGAGCTCAGTGTCCTGGTGCTGAACGTTCCCAAGGGATGTGGGAGAGGGGGCTGCAGTCCTGCCAGGGCTCAGCAGTGCCAGCGGTGCCACCCTCTGCTCCCCGAGCCCGTTCCCAGCCGGGCAAAGCCGGAATTCCAAGGAGAAGCGCAGTCTGAGCAGAGTGGAATGTGGCTGATCCGGGGAGGGGGAGCAGGGGCTGCCTGCCCGGGGGGCTCAGCAGGGCTCCACGTAATTCCCAGGGAAGAATCCCTGCTCCTGCCCCAGCACACCCTCGCACCAGCCGTCAGAGTAGCGGCGAGTGACGAAGAGGAGGGCGCCGGGCTGGAGGGACAGCTCGTTGTCCTTCTGCGCCGTGTAGGGGTACAGGGCCACCACTGCGGGGGAGAGAGGGGGCATGGAGCATGGCAGGGCCACCACGGGGACAGGGCACGGCTGGGAAGGGCGGGATGGGGGATATGAGGGATGGGGCATGGCTGGGAATGGTGGGATGGGGGATGTGAGGGACAGGGATGGGGGACATGAGGGACAGAGCACGGCTGGGAAGGGTGGGATTGGAGACATGAGCAGCCAGGGCATGGCGGGTGGGGCAGGACTGGGCCCTCAGGGCTGTGCCTGCGGGCAAGGGCTCAGCCCAAATGGATCCAGGGGATCTGGGGATCCATCAGACCTTTCTCCAGGTAGTTCTCCGGGACCCAGGAAGGCTCCTCTGGGGTGGGGGGTGGCGGTGGAGGGGCCAAGCCCTCGAAGTCGGGCAGAGCTGACGGTGGGGGCAGCGGCTCCAGGTCCTCGGGGGCTGCAAAACCCCCCAGAGGGACGAGGGGTGAAGGGCTCGGGGGGGGGGCAGTGGTCACACACAGCCCTCCGTGTCCCCCCTGAGCCCCCTGAGCCCCCAGCACTCACCTGGGGGCGGCAGGTCCGGGGGGGTCACGGCCGAGTCCTCGGGGGGGGGCGGTGGGAGCAGAGCCCCG